TCTACGAATGAATAGCAAGTTATGTAAAAGTAAAAGCAAAACCACAATACTGACATCCTTCAAGTTAAGAATGCGTCAAGAGTCGAGATGTAAAATAGTTAACACGTGTTATCTACATTAAACTATTTTATACATCTACAGTGTATTAAATCAGATGTATACTACAATTAATCGGTTAAAACAGTCTTCTCAGCCAATGGCATGATAAACGAATGTTAGTTAAATGATTGTAGCGGTTAGCAAGTTTTTGCTTTGGTAGAGAAAGTTACTAACAATTTTATATCAATGCAATTTTTATAGCTCAATAAATCTCAACAAAATAAAAATGTGTGGTGTTTAGTGACCCTTAGTCAATAATGTAAAACGGGTTATTACTTAAGAAACATGACATTTTTACCTATTCCCAGTAGTCAAAACAAAAATAATAGATTGTGCTGATACTGCCGTCAGGTCCCAATGGAAGAAGAAGGAGACTTGAAGTTTGTGAACCTTATATGTTCGTTTTTTATTTTGTTTATTCGGAGATCGCGAGATGCGGTCTGGTGTGACGTAGGCTTAGAAAAATATTATTCTTTATCGTGCCAACGTTTCGATCTTTATTGAGATCATCTTCAGGGCCTGAGATTTATAAACATTTAAATTCACTAATTTCGTGGTCCGCTTGACCAATTAAATCATTACAATTAATTAAGGTTTTTAGTTGAGATGAAAATTTATTTTTCATCTCAACTAAAAACCTTAATTAATTGTAATGATTTAATTGGTAAGCGGACCACGAAATTAGTGAATTTAAAGAATTAATATGAAGTACACTTCACTAAAGCTCTCCGTGGCCATTTCAATTGTCGTCGAGAATCCAAACCGATTACACGACATTTGAAAAATGGCAAAAGGAGGGAAAACTCATAAGGTGGGGTTGAGATGGGGAGTTGATGTCCGAGTGAATCGAGGTCACGATAGCTCAGGTGGTAGAGTAGCGGCGTATCAAGCCGAAGGTCGTGGGTTCGAATCCCTCTCGTGCCATTAACTTTTCTTCATCTCAACTAAAAACCTTAATTAATTGTAATTTATAAACATTGTTTAGCTTTAACAAATATATGTAGGATGTGAAAAAATGAATTTATACAATGCTAGAAATTTTAGATAAAAAATAAATAAATAAAATGAATTTATACAATGCTTGAAAATTTTAGATTAAAAAAAATGAATTTATACAATGCTAGAAAATATTAGATAAAAAAGAATTTATACAATGCTAGACAATTTTAGATTAAAAAAATGAATTTATACAATGCTAGAAAATAATAGATAAAAAAGAATTTATACAATGCTAGAAAATTTTAGATTAAAAAAATGAATTTATACAATGTTGAGAAATATTAGAAAAAAAAAGAATTTATACAATGCTAGAAAATTTTAGATTAAAAAAATGAATTTATACAATGCCTGAAAGTTTTAGATTAAAAAAATGAATTTACACAATGCCTGAAAATTTTAGATTAAAAAAATGAATTTATACAATGCTAGAATTTTTTTAGGTTCAATCAAAGTATTCCAGCATTGTATAAATTCATTTTTTAATCTAACATTTTCTAGCATTGCATAAATTCATTTTTTCAAATCTAAAATTTTGTAGCATAGCATAATTCATTTTTTCACATCCTACATGTATTTGTAAAATTCAAACAATGTTTATAAATTCCAGGCCCTGAACATGATCTCAATAAAGATCGAAACGTTGGCGCTATGAAGAAAATATTTTTCTAAAAACTTACGTCACACCAGACCGCATCTCACGATCTCCGAATAAACAAAATAAAAAACGAACATATAAATATGTTATGTATATACATAAAAGTTCACAAACTTCAAGTCTTCTTATTCTTCCATTGGGACCTGACGGCAGTAACAGCACAATCTATTATTTTTGACTACTGGGAATAGGTAAAAATGTCACGTTTCTTAAGTAATAACCCGTTTTATTCTTGAAAAGTTTATATTTCTACTATGTCGAATAATACTCGTTAGTATTTTTAAAATAAAAACTAAAAAAATGATAAGGTGCTTATAAATAAAAATTTTCCTATGATTCATATTTGACAGTATATTGTGTATCAATTGAATAGTTTTGATTTTGTAACATTTAAACAGAGTTCTGCTAAAAGTCGAAGCATTAAAGATAGCCTGCAGTTAGAAAGTTCAAGTGCCGGGAATAGTTTTATAGCTACAAACTGTTAGTAAAATAATAATTCTGTCAGTTTAAAAATAACTTTCTTTACTAATTCTTAACTAATTCTACGTTCGTTGACTTTGAAGTAAGGGAGATATCTGAAAATCAATGGCACTTTAAGCCTTATTTCAACGAATTGTGCTCGTGTTCAGCATCTGTAAATAATTTAAAACCTAGATTCATCGGGTCATCAGTTATAGTTTGCGAAATATCTCTAAACAATCGGTTTCTATCTATTTTTATATTTTGTGTACAATTTTACTGAAGATAAAGTTTGAGTGTGTTTTTTATAACTAAAACAAATAACTAAACCTGGATGAGAAACCGAATCGGTCTGACAGAAGAAACCTACATGAGCAGAACAACATCGGAAGCAACCAAAAAAAAGAGAATCTGGCAGATTGGTCATCAGCCCAGCTGGTCGCTATTTACAATCCCATGACATTGCAGCCAACGATTTTCCTACGGTTCAAGACGTGCTAATCATGAAGACATGATGAGAGGCACGTTTGCTAATGTCCGTATTCGTAATGAAATGTTACCTGGGCTAGAAGGTGTTTTACGCGCTGTATACCGACCCAGCCTGACCTATCTATATATGATGCTGCAATGCAATATTTAGATTACTAACTTACTTTAAGCTTCCATTACTAATCAAAGTTTTTTCATGGCTTTTTTTTAATTGACGAAGAAGTTGAACAGTTATACGATATTTATCAACTAAATCTTGTAAAGTGGTTTAGTTCTCTTCATCCAACCAGCGAGTTAATTTATCAGTAGCATGGTTTTCCGAATGAAGAAAAGAAAAAAACTATTTCATAACTAGATACATTATAAAGCTTTCCACTAGATTTTTTTCTGTTAATGATATTAGTATGAGCGGGTTAGTTATCTGTTTCAGATGAGAAATAAATAAAGTACATCACAGATATTAAAGAATTGTTTAAAACGTTTTTTTAAGAGTAGGTAGATGAACTAAAATGGAAATTACTTCAACATATGCAATACTTAAATCAGTTTTTTGCTATAGAAACGTTTTTGTCCTAATTCACTTTAAGCGCATGCAGGTTTCAACGATTTGAACATAGAACATTTTCAATAATTAAAAGGTTTCATATATTACAATTAATTAAGGTTTTTAGTTGAGATAAAAAAGTCAATGGCACGAGCGGGATTCGAACCCACGATCTTCTTTTTGAATTTTCCCTCCTTTTTGCCATTTTTTCAAATGTAGTGTAATAAGGATTCGATTCTCGGCGACAAATGAAATGGCCACCGAGAGCTTTAGTAAAGTATACTTCATTTTAATTCATTAAATTCACTAATTTCGTGGTCCGTTTGACCAATTAATGTCTTTCAATTAATTAAGGTTTTTGAGATAAAAAGGTGGGGTTGAGATGGGAAGTTAGGGTCCGAGTGGATCGAGGTCACGATAGCTCAAGTGGTAGAGCAGCGGCGTATCTAGCCGAAGATCGTGAGTTCGAATCCGGCTCGTGGCACTGACTTTTTTATCTCAACTAAAAACTTTAATTAACTGTAATATATTAATTGGTCAAGTGGACCACGAAATTAGTGAATTTAATGGTTTCATATTTGTTTAGTAGTTATAATTGACGGTATTCATTACTTCAATTAATTTCACTTTTACCTAAGGACTTGTTTGAGATAAAAACGTTTCAGAAGCGTGATTCGAACCCACGAATTTCGGCTCAATATGCGGCTGCTCTAACCACTTGAGATATTAGGGGTATTCACAATCTTTGTCTTAACCCAGTTAACTCTGTTAGGTCGTTTCCGATCGGGAAAATGATAACGTAGACTTGTAAGAATCTCCTAGCTAACATTGCTCGATCTAACATGCCAGGGCCAATGTTAAATGTTAAGTCGAAGATGTAGTCAAATTGTTAGCCGTACCTATGTCCGGTAACCAACATGACAGCCATGAACAGTATCGTTTACGTTATTTAAAAACGCATTAATTAAATCAGACCAATACATTTTTTTGTTAATTTCTGACCTCTCGTTATACTCTCATTCAGAAAAGATACATCCTCTATCCTATATAGTTGAAGGCTGTTAGACGTTATGATGCAAGTTAGGCATGTCGGCACGGGTGGAAGCGTGTCATTTGTTAGTATTTTTCGAGTGCATAGGTAGCATTTTGAATGAAAAAGATGATAAATTTTCCGTTTTTTTCTAACTTCTGGCATCTTACAATTTAACACAAAGCAAAACCCTAATAAACAACAACAAGCCTTGAAGGACTGTTATAGCTATATTTTGGTTCTACCAGTCGCCACTCGCAGCATTGCGGAAAAATTAACATTTAACATGCTAAGAAAAGAAGGACGCGTTCACGATTGTACTGGACATGTCAATATTCGAGTTAACACGAGTTAACATCTAGCAAACATCGCGAATACCCCTGTTGTGACTTCTTTTCATCTCAACCAAGACCTAAATATAATCTATAATGTACGTCCAAATCGGTTGCGGTAGCATATTGCATTTTCATAGGTGTTATTATGGACGTTAACAATTAAACCTTTTCCAGTAACTCTCCATTTTCGAGATACGTGGGTATCACATTGAAATCGAGACATTCAGTATATGATAAGGTTTCCAAAAAATGACAAAAACCCTGTGAAACATGCTTTCACAGTAAGGAATACAACATTGGAATGTAGCATCTCTGTAAACAAAATACTAGAAAAAAATTGTAATGACTATTTTCAGAACCCTTGCGAAATGTTGAATAACAGTTCTCATATTAATTGAAAAAAAAAAATTTAATTATTATATAGGGCTTGATAAAGATGAAGATTATTATACTATGACAGATAAGACACGATTTATTATAACTTTCACTTGCATTTGAATCCCCTGTTTCTATTGAGGTGAAAGCGAGGATTTGGTAGATCTGTAATTTTTGGAAAAAAATCAAATTAGCATTGTTAGTTGCAACCGTACCGATGCCGAGTAATTTTCCACCACAGATTAACGGTATTCCTCTATCCTTCCATTGGAAATCCTCCGCAGTGCAAACAGCGCAAATTATATCTTGAAATTCGAAGGAGAAATGATCACTTAATTCCTCAGAACGCCAGAATTTGCTTAAGCAATCACTTGATTTGAGGAACTGAATACGTGCCTTCTGCAAAGTCTTGGAGTGGGTATCCTCTGTCGTACCGTTTGCTTTAGACGTCTTGTCTCCCCATCCGTAAGTGGCGCAGAAAGAACTACCGCCTTCATCGTAGTCCTGATTGCCGAAATATTTGTAAAGGTGATGAATATATTTGGGTTCCGATATTGAATAAGACACGAATCCCAAAAAGAAGCTGTTGTGAAAAGGCGATCGTAACTCGATGTAGCCTAGGTTGTTTGTCCAGGTGTTATATTCTTTAAAAACGAAGCACCGAGGATCACGGTAAAGTTTATATATGAACCTGGTATTAATGAAACGCAAGTTTTCCAAGTCGATCGATCCCGCTATAACTTTGTACAACTCCGGATGAAACATGGGATTTTCCTTCGAGCCGCCTGGAATGTTTATAACGCAACTACAGCTCGTTATCAATTTTTTTAAAGTGATAAGATTCGCTACGCACAAATGCTCGTTGTCACTTATCCTTTGAACGCTGGCCACAAATCTCGCTTCACTGTTTGTCGGTAAACTCCTAGGAACCGCAAAACGCTTTCTGCGATCCAACGCGGAATAAATTGTATTTTTTTCCAATTTAAACGTACCATTCAAAGTATTACGGTCTTGACGCATTTCTTCCGCTTCCGACATAGGACTACAAACAATGAAAAAATAAAAGTACAACAGCAATAGATACATTTTGATATTTTTAAGTTATTAGTTTGTGATGTCAAAATATACAACACATGTTATTTGCCATCAACTTTAAATCGTTTGCGTAGCACGTGTACAGAAAAAATTATCTCTATCAATGTGTGCATTCAATCAATTTTTTCTTGTTTTTATAATATAATTACCAAAGTATTTTAACCTTTTGTAACAAGTATTATCTAAACAACTATTACAAATATGTTCGTGCCTGTGTTTCTTTTATTCCATTTAAAACACTGAGACTATAGACTGCACTCCACCCGGAAGATTGTGAGGCGAGCAGAATTCAAGGTCAATGTCGTCTTAAACGTTTAAGTGGTGGTTTTTCAACTTGGACTGTGTAGATAGGGGTTGGGTAGAAGGGTAAATCTTTCGACCAGATGTGTACGTTGGCAATGGATGTCGATGTCGTTGAGGTTAGTTGAGTAGCTTTGACAATTCACCTGAGTGCTTTTGATTTGAATGATTGATTGAATGCGCGGGATATTGAATACCTTAACGGAACACAACAAGTCCACTTCGAATGTCCATGGTCGCCAAAATCTCGTGTACGTATATAATTAATTGAATTTTGATTTGAGTCACGATAGTTGTCCATGCCTTTAGTTAAGTTGTTGTGCTTAAGTCTTATTTATTGATTGTATAGGTATTCTAAGTCAATATGCTGTCTTGGTATAGGTCTAAGTATGTCCAGTGAAAGGCAAGACTATTTTTTCCTTACAGTAGTAGAGAGTAGTACAGAGTACATTTTTCTCATTCAATTTGGCTCTGCCATATTTGCATTATTTGCTTGAAAAGTTCAAAGTGTCCTTGTTGTTGGTTAGATTGGGGTGTCACCCGCGTAGATGGTAATGATGTTATTTCATGTATAGGAAATTCAAAAGAATAATTGCTAAAAGGAATGAAGAATGCTCCTTTTTGGAACGTCGGCTTGTAGTAATAACTTAGCATTCGTTGCCCTAACTTGGGAATTGCCAAGATAGGATAAAAATGAGTGGGGAGGAAAGGTTAAAATCCAGGAAAATCTAAATTAAGGATCCAGGAACAATAGGTATCAGATCCTATCAAAGGCCTAAGCTACACATAAAGCAATAGCATTCGTTCTCTATAGCCTAGGAAATACTGCCAATGACCTACCTTGCTTGATCATGAAATGATGAAGACGGATACCGAATTTATAATTTTAAAAAAGATTTTGTGTAAATCTAGAATGATTATTAAACGAAATAATTAATTATTCGAGGATTTTCGACCTCACAAAAAAAGGTGATGGGTATGTAAAAACTGTAAATTTTATAGGAACTCTTGTGAGCTTTAGGAACATGAATGATTATAGGATATTTATACTAGAGAGGAGCGAAGATAGAATGGCATTATTATTGTAGTTAAAAGTACTATAACCCTTTGAGAAAGGTTTCAAAGAATAGTTCAGATAATTAGGTCATATACGTGGATTTTCCGTACGTAATAGTTAACTTTAAAAGAATGGAAAGGTTTAAGGAAGAAATGAGGAGGATGTGGAATAACAAAAGCTATATTTTACTTGAGCAAATTTATCTGAATAGGTAAAGGTGCTATGTAAATGAATTGCTTTGATTTACCTTTTTGCTTCTGGACGAACGTCCATCATCTAGCCTGCTTGGCATATTAATGCTAAGATCTAACAGCAATGCCCCGGTGATTTACACTGATTTCTTTACTAGCCATCAAAAATAAATTTTCTACAAATCCCAGAATACAAGAGGTAGCTCTAGAAGATCGCACAAGTTTCCTTTTTGTGGATCCCATATTACTGTGGTATAAGAGGCAAGAAAAGCCGACCTAGCAACGAAATGTGCAGCATCGACGGGTATTTCCGTGTTGGACGTGCTACGCAAAGATTTTGCAGTTTTTATGAATGGAAAAAATTGGGACATCTGACATTTTGAATGGCAAAACATCGAGGGAGAATTTAACTAATTAACTAAACTAAATTAACTCAGAGAAATTAAAGGAGATGTGAAACAATGGGGTACGGCAATGCAAATAATGGGGAAAGAGGAAAGTGTATTGGGAATTTATTCCTATTTGAGTTCCTTACCGAAACTGGACTGATAATAAATTTTGACATACAACGAGTAGTAGAATGAGAAGGCTTTGAGTTCGGGACGGTGAGGGCTGATCCTGTCGATCTTCTTGCCACTCCTTACTCATCTCATTACCTCATATAGAATCAAGGCAGTTTTCGACCCATCGTGGTTGTATACCTTTAAAAAAACATGTGTTCCTGTCACGTGATAGAATTAACAATCTTTACGTGAATATTTGTTTATTTTCGCTTTGCATTACTTTTTTATTTTTCAATCGTTTAGGAGAAGCAGGAGAAAAGCGTAGAGACCAGTTTCGTCCTAGCAATGGTGAGTTCACACGAAAAATCTTCTTTATTTCGCAAGAAGCGCATCGTGGCAGCCCAATTGGAGAAAACCAATTTTACAGCGATATACGTTGCTAGCGTTCAAAGGATAAGTAAAAAAGAGCACTTGTGCATGGCGACTCTTATTACGTTGAGAACGCTTATATCGAGCTTTAGTTGCTTCATACATATTCGAAGAAAAAGTAAAGAGGTTCCTATTTGCGCACCGCAGTTATACATGGTCGTGGCAGGAACATCAGACTTAGCAGTGGCAAAGATGAGTGACTCCAGAGTGGTTTCTCAATTTTATCGTGATTCAATATGCCGTTATTCTCCTGAAATGAAAACATGGAATAAAACCGGGACTACATCGACCTGCAATGGCCATTCGAGGAAAGCAAGTTTTTAAATGTCGTGCACTTTCCGAAATCACAGATCAAGTACGATGTGCTGTACAACGCACTTTATGAGAACGAACATTTTGCAGAGGGCGGGAATAAATCCTGTACCACCTACGGCTGGGGAGCAAGGAGGTACAACCTAAGTATTTCAGCAGAAACGAAATCCTCCTCAATTATTGGCAAAATGAATGTTCAATTTTTCTCATACAGCAAATGTTTCCAGAGACTTTATAAAAAGTTGTTAAATTCCACTTTTGAAATGACGAACATGTTATGTGTTAGTGGTGTTAAAAAGAAAAAAGTATAGAAAGGGGTGTTGTGCAGTAAAGATCAAGGAGCACCGTTGATATGCGATGATACATTAATCGCGATCGGGACGCCGGTAATACGTTGTGGTTACAAAGTTAAACTTAGCTTCTTTCAAAAATTAAACATCACACAAATGCTTGACTTCTCAACACTGGAAAAAGTAATAATCGGAAAAGCGAATAAACATAACATGCCTATTTTCTCCTCACGTTGCTAATTTTCTTCATCCTTAACAAGAACTCTTCGATTATGTAAAATTAAAAATTTCGATGAACGCACAAAAATCCCAATTTATCATTGCCATATGTTTAATTTATTTTAATATACCTGTTTATACCCAATTTTATAACGATAACAAAAGCAACTGGTATTAATCACGTTACTGATTATAATTGAGAGTACATTCACGGAGATAGATATTCCAATCTGTGTAGCTGTTAAATAGTGTCGTAGGATCATGAACAACATTAGAGCCATTTACTATAAAATATTAATTATTCTTGTTATGTAAGGTCTTGGTTGAAATGAAAAAAATTATTGTCACGAGCGGGATTCGAACCCACACCTTTGGCTCAATACGCCGCTGCTCTAACCACTTGATCTATCGAAACTTCGATCCACTTAGACACCATCTCTTCGAATCTCGCTTTTTCATTTCAACCAAGAACTTACATAAAAAGAATAAGAATTGAAAGAATTAATTTGGTCAATCAGACCACTAAACATAATGGATTTACTGTAGAATATTAATCTGAATCTACAAAATTGGTCGTTTGATTAGGGAATCATAAAATTTTACTTGGTTAATCTTGCTAAAAAGTTTGGTTTACCTACTATTGCTATTTCGTTCTGTGATGCACTGTAAAATAAATACCGATGTAAGGTTTTCGAAAATGGTTACCAGCACTAATCCTGCGCAAATTTTTCCGGACCCCGCTGATCTGATGGATTAGCATACCGTTCGTGCCTTGAATGTGCGAGGTAGTTAGGTTTTCTTTCATTGATTTTCTTTTCTCTCTTTTAAATATTAGAGTGGTATCATTCTCACCTGGATGAAAATGTCATACGAAGTTTGGGGACACGGTCACTAGTTTAGAGGACAAAACCGGTGTATGTATCCGATTTGTAATTGAAAGTGACACTTCTTGGCTTCGTATATGTTTACGTCAAATTAACCATTTTTATCTTCAAATGAACCCGTTTAACTTCAAATTAACTTTTTTATTTGAACTTCTTTTAACTCCTAATTAAATTTTTAATTAAAAATTACTCTTTTATAACTTCATATATACTTTCTTTGTTTCAAATGGACCCTGAAAAGGTAGTCCGATACTGTTATGGAGCGAGGCCCCTCCCTACCAGAAGCAGTATAATTTTGAGTAGAGTGAAAAATGTCGACGTAGCCTTGTAGCGACAAGCTTGTGTAAACATGTGTCAGACAGCAAATTAACAATTTGAATCCAGCCTAAGAACACGACACTAAGCCTAATTTCCAGAAGGGGGGGGGCAGCGACTTCCCCGAGGTCGTCTGGCCTGATGACGCTTCGCTACCCATCGTAACCCCGTGGCTAGATGTGCTGACACAAAGCTATTTAAAAAAAAGTAGATTAAACATTCAAAATGCGTTTGATAATCTTTGTCGCTTCAACCGATGGTTCAATTTACCTGCTACTAATATTAACACATAGTAAAGAAAGCATGTGTCTTTATATGATAGAATTAAGAGTCTTTACATACAAATATGTGTTCATTTTGGTTTTGCATTTCTTTTTTCATCGTTTTCAATCTGACGCAATCATGAGAAAAGGGTACAGACCATTTTACATCGAGTGATGATGGTCTGGGGATATATATTGGGAAATTACGACAGGTCTTCCTTGTTTCGCAAAAAGTGGAGCCAAATTGGTCAAAAACAATTTTAGAGCGATTTACGTCGCTAGCGTTCAGAGGATAAGTAACAAAGAGCACTTGTGCATGGCGACTCTTATTACATTGAGAACGCTTATATCGAGCTGTAGTTGCTTCATTTAAATTCGAGGAAAGGACAGAGAAATTCCCATTTTCAAACAGTCGTGGCAGGGACGAAAGTCTTGTAAAAGGCAAATGTCGGTGATGTGATACGGGAGTCGTGTCTAAGTTTTACATCCAATATGCCGCTATTCTCCTGAAATGAAAACATAGACAAACAGCCGCGGTTATTTCAAACTGCAATGGCCATTGGAGGTAAGCAAGTTTTAAATGTCGTGCACTTTCCGAAATCACAGAACGAGTACGATATGCTGTACGAAGTTGTATGAGAGCGCAGATTTTGCAGAAAGCGAGAGTAAATCATGTACCACCTATGGCTGGGGAGCAAGGAGGTACAACCTAAGCATTTGAGTAGAAACGAAATACCCCGAACCAAAACTTTTCAAGTGCATTGTGCAACCTGCAAAGACGCTCTACATCGTGTTATCAGTTCCAGTCAACACTCTGCAGTTATAGCGCGTTATCGAGTCTTTGCATTCAGTGACAAAACTAAGCGAGACAAAAGACTAGTGGTACTTGATTAAAGTAATTGCTCATGCTAATCAGAAACATCCTCTCTTAGTGGTCAACTACACCGAATTTTTTGGATGGATAGAAATAGCGGGTCAATTTTGGATACAAAAAAGATGAGCATTACCAAAACTTCTATAATAAAAGTTACCACAAGAAAACTTTAGTGTATTGGCGTATAGAAATGATATTTTTCCTTTTTTCTTGTACTCCAGAAAAGTGTATCGGAGGAAGATTTACATAATTTGAGCATAGAAATGCGGAAAAAGCCAACCCTTTATCAAAGGAGAAGGAAAAAGGATATTACCGCCATATTTGTAACATGATAAATATAAGTGTGTGGAGATTAGTGACCGTTAGTCGATGATTATTCGGAAATCGTGAGATGCGGTCTGGTGTGACGTAGGTTTCAGAAAAACGTTTTTTTATCGTGCCAACGTTTCGATCTTTATTGAGATCATCTTCAGAGCTCAAAGAGTTTGTTTCCTGCGTAATTCTGCCATTCTTGCGTGTGCCATTCATCTCACAATTTCCGAATAATCATTGATAAATACAAGTTTCATTAGAGTTTACTAGTGTTGGAATGAACTTATCTTTTTCATTCACAAGATTTCTAACTTTTCTAAACCTCAACTTATTTAAATTTAACCTTCATGGCACTTACAAGGTGTTGTATTTTTTGAAAATTGAAAATTATTTATAGCTTACACAAACATTTTTCAAACCCAGAAACCAATCAGTTTTGTGCATTTTTCAGTAAACTTCAATTATATTATTTTTTTTAAATGTTTTCTGTATTATTACGTTATATTATTTTTGTTTTTGTGTTTAATTTTCGTTTGCATTTTATATTGTTTTTTCTTCATAAATGTATTGCTGAATGAAGAGTAAAAATGAATTCTAAATGCAATGAAATTTTCCTTTATTTTGTCGCTTTCGATTCAAGAAGCATTATAAAGGGGACCGCGGTAGCCGAGTGGTTAGCATGAGAGACTCTCACGCCGCGGTCGTGGGTTCGATTCCCAGCGTTGCCCCTGGCCCTTTTTTCCCAATAACCCCCCAAATTTGAACACACATATACGAATTTGTCACATGGCTAATATGCATAGTTCATAACGCCAAAAAAAAAAAAAAGCATAAAATCGGTTAGTTATATTAACATATGCTAATGAAATCATGTGTTTATTTCACATGATAGAAAAAAAAACTTTGCATAAAAATATGTATTTATTGCGGTTTTGCATTTCTTTGTTCATCGTTTTCACTCCTCTGTCAGAAGCAGGAGAGAAGCTTAGCGACCAATTTACTTCCGATGATGAGTTTATATTGAGAAACTACGCCAGTTCTTCGTTGTTTCGTAAGAAGCGGATCATAGGAGCCAGATTAGTGAAGACCAATTTTAAAGCGATTTACGTTGCTAGCGTTCAGAGGATAAGTAACAAAGAGCACTTGTGCATGGCGACTCTTATTACGTTGAGAACGCTTATATCGAGCTGTAGTTGCTTCATACATATTCCAGGAAAAAGTAAAGAGATTCCTATTTTCGCACCGCAGTTATACATGGTCGTGGCAGGAATTTCAAACTTAGCCGAGGCAAAGATGAGTGACACCAGAGTGGTTTCTCAATTTTACCGTGATCCAATATGCCGTTATTCTTCTGAAATGAAAATATGGATAAACAACCGCGGCTACATCGAGCTGCAATGGCCATTCGAGGAAAGCAAGTTTTTAAATGTCGTGCACTTTCCGAAATCACAGATCAAGTACGATGTGCTGTACAACGCACTTTATGAGAACGAACATTTTGCAGAGGGCGGGAATAAATCCTGTACCACCTACGGCTGGGGAGCAAGGAGGTACAACCTAAGTATTTCCGCAGAAACGAAATCCTCCTCAATTATTGGCAAAATGAATGTTCAATTTCTCTCATACAGCAAATGTTTGAACAGATTTTATGCAAAGTCGTTAAATTCCACTTTTGAAAATATGAACATGTTTTGCGCCAGTGGTGTTAGAAGGAAACAGTTACAGAAAGGGTTGTTGTGTAGTAAAGATCAAGGAGCACCGTTGATATGCAATAATACATTAATCGCCATCGGGACGCCGATAACACGATGCGGTTATAATTCTCAATTTAGTTTCTTTCAGAAATTAAATATCACACAAATGCTCGATTTCTCAACATTGGAAAAAGTGATCATTGGAAAAGGGAGTAAACATAAACTGTCAATTTTACTTGTTACGTTACCAATTTTCTTCATCATTTACAAGCACTTTCTTATTTTATAAATTTAAAACTTGTGTTGAACATAAAAATACAATTTCCAATGCCGTATGTTTAATTTTTTATTGTAACATATCAAAAAACAGCTGATCCGCCATCTAGTAAATACGCGTATTTTGTGCTCCACTTTCATTGAGTTATGACTCGACCTAAAATTGGTGGCTAGTTGATTTTTCTTTCCTTCTGAGTCAGTGAGTATATTATTACTTGTGTGCGGAATCTGGAGGACGAAGGATTGTAGCGGAGCTTGCGCCTACTGCTACTCAACAAGGCTAGAGTTCGCAATCAGGCAAGGTCCAATCCGTTAATCTGCCAACCCATTTTTTTTATTTATTTAATTTAATTATAAAGGCATACAACCACGATGGGTCAAAACTGCCTTGACGATGAATTAATCGATGAGAGAAGAAAACAGAGCGATAGGCCAGGAGGGCAGGGACATCAAGAGCGGGCGCACCCCCACAGCGATCACCACCGATCGTGAGATGCGGTCTGGTCTGACGTAGTTTTTAGAAAAACATTTGCTTTATCGTGCCAACGTTTCGATCTTTATTGAGATCATCTTCAGGGCCTGGAATTTATAAACATTGTTTCAATTTTACAAATATATGAGGAAGGGGAAAAAATGAATTATACAAGGCTAGAAATTATAGATAAAAAATCAATAAATATATAAAATGAATTTATACAATGCTAAAAAAATTTAAATTAAAGAAAAATCTAATATTTTCTATGTATAGATGTATTTTGTATAAATTCGTTTTTTTATCTAAAATTTTCTAGCATTGTATAAACGATTTTTTTTTAATCTAAAATGTCTAGCATTTTATAAATTCTTTTTTTCACAAACATTGTTTACATTTAACAAATACATTTAGGATGTGGAAAAGTGAATTTATACAATGCAAAATATATTTTTTTATTCAATCAAAGTATTTTAATCAAAGCATTTATTATATTTTGCATTGTATAAATTCACTTTTCCAAATCCTAAATGTATTTGTTAAATTTAAACAACGTTTATAAATCCCAGGCCCTAAAGATGATCTCAATAAAGATCGAAACGTTGCCAAGATAAAGAAAATGTTTTTCTAAAATCTACGTCACACCAGACCGCTTCTCTCGATATCCGAATAATCATTGACTAATGGTCACTAAACACCACACACAAGTAATAGTAAAAGTGAAAATGTGAGAAAGAGTAGTAATTAATTTTACTTAATTTTACAAATACATGTAGGATGTGAAAAAATGAAATTGTACAATGCTAGAACTTGTAGATTTAAAACAAAAATAAAGTAAAATAAAAATTTGTACAATGCTAGAAAATTTTAGATTAAAAAAATACAATGCTAGAAAATTTTAGATTAAAAAAATGAATTTATACAATGCTTTTTTATCTAAAATTGTCTAGCATTGTAAATTATTTTTTTTAATCTAAAATTTTCTAGCATTGTATAAATTCATTTTATTTATTTTTTTAAATCTAAAATTTTCTAGTATTGTATAAATTCATTTTTTCACATCCTACATGTATTTATAAAATTTAAATAATGTTTATAAATACCAGGCGCTGAAGATGATCTTAATAAAGATCGAAACGTTGGCTCGATAAAGAAAATGTTTTTCTAAAANTAAATCCTGTACCACCTACGGCTGGGGAGCAAGGAGGTACAACCTAAGTATTTCCGCAGAAACGAAATCCTCCTCAATTATTGGCAAAATGAATGTTCAATTTCTCTCATACAGCAAATGTTTGAACAGATTTTATGCAAAGTCGTTAAATTCCACTTTTGAAAATATGAACATGTTTTGCGCCAGTGGTGTTAGAAGGAAACAGTTACAGAAAGGGTTGTTGTGTAGTAAAGATCAAGGAGCACCGTTGATATGCAATAATACATTAATCGCCATCGGGACGCCGATAACACGATGCGGTTATAATTCTCAATTTAGTTTCTTTCAGAAATTAAATATCACACAAATGCTCGATTTCTCAACATTGGAAAAAGTGATCATTGGAAAAGGGAGTAAACATAAACTGTCAATTTTACTTGTTACGTTACCAATTTTCTTCATCATTTACAAGCACTTTCTTATTTTATAAATTTAAAACTTGTGTTGAACATAAAAATACAATTTCCAATGCCGTATGTTTAATTTTTTATTGTAACATATCAAAAAACAGCTGATCCGCCATCTAGTAAATACGCGTATTTTGTGCTCCACTTTCATTGAGTTATGACTCGACCTAAAATTGGTGGCTAGTTGATTTTTCTTTCCTTCTGAGTCAGTGAGTATATTATTACTTGTGTGCGGAATCTGGAGGACGAAGGATTGTAGCGGAGCTTGCGCCTACTGCTACTCAACAAGGCTAGAGTTCGCAATCAGGCAAGGTCCAATCCGTTAATCTGCCAACCCATTTTTTTTATTTATTTAATTTAATTATAAAGGCATACAACCACGATGGGTCAAAACTGCCTTGACGATGAATTAATCGATGAGAGAAGAAAACAGAGCGATAGGCCAGGAGGGCAGGGACATCAAGAGCGGGCGCACCCCCACAGCGATCACCACCGATCGTGAGATGCGGTCTGGTCTGACGTAGTTTTTAGAAAAACATTTGCTTTATCGTGCCAACGTTTCGATCTTTATTGAGATCATCTTCAGGGCCTGGAATTTATAAACATTGTTTCAATTTTACAAATATATGAGGAAGGGGAAAAAATGAATTATACAAGGCTAGAAATTATAGATAAAAAATCAATAAATATATAAAATGAATTTATACAATGCTAAAAAAATTTAAATTAAAGAAAAATCTAATATTTTCTATGTATAGATGTATTTTGTATAAATTCGTTTTTTTATCTAAAATTTTCTAGCATTGTATAAACGATTTTTTTTTAATCTAAAATGTCTAGCATTTTATAAATTCTTTTTTTCACAAACATTGTTTACATTTAACAAATACATTTAGGATGTGGAAAAGTGAATTTATACAATGCAAAATATATTTTTTTATTCAATCAAAGTATTTTAATCAAAGCATTTATTATATTTTGCATTGTATAAATTCACTTTTCCAAATCCTAAATGTATTTGTTAAATTTAAACAACGTTTATAAATCCCAGGCCCTAAAGATGATCTCAATAAAGATCGAAACGTTGCCAAGATAAAGAAAATGTTTTTCTAAAATCTACGTCACACCAGACCGCTTCTCTCGATATCCGAATAATCATTGACTAATGGTCACTAAACACCACACACAAGTAATAGTAAAAGTGAAAATGTGAGAAAGAGTAATAATTAATTTTACTTAATTTTACAAATACATGTAGGATGTGAAAAAATGAAATTGTACAATGCTAGAACTTGTAGATTTAAAACAAAAATAAAGTAAAATAAAAATTTGTACAATGCTAGAAAATTTTAGATTAAAAAAATACAATGCTAGAAAATTTTAGATTAAAAAAATGAATTTATACAATGCTTTTTTATCTAAAATTGTCTAGCATTGTAAATTATTTTTTTTAATCTAAAATTTTCTAGCATTGTATAAATTCATTTTATTTATTTTTTTAAATCTAAAATTTTCTAGTATTGTATAAATTCATTTTTTCACATCCTACATGTATTTATAAAATTTAAATAATGTTTATAAATACCAGGCGCTGAAGATGATCTTAATAAAGATCGAAACGTTGGCTCGATAAAGAAAATGTTTTTCTAAAAACCTCCGTCAAACCAGACCGCATTTCACGATCTCCGAATAATCATTAAAACTAACCATTTTTTGTTGAAAATCTATTACAATAAAAAGTTATTTAAAATTGCATATAATATAAAAGATATTCTAGATAAATAATATAATCCGACTTTAATTACCTCGGTTTCTTTTATTTTTAAATTGGTATAAAAACCGTGAAGTTTGACTCTTACTTCAGAATACAACTTTTTTTATATTTCGGTATAAAAGCCCCACTGAGGATCGGCAGTAAGAGGAGAAAGGATCAAGGAGAAAGACGATAAAGAGCCATCCTTATGACCCTACAAGGTTGTATATAAAGAGGAAGAGGAATGATACGATCGTGCCACTTCGAGATTGACACGGACATAAACAGAGGTTCTGCAGGCGTGAAAGGCTATTACCCGTTTGAATCTAAGACGCCGAGAAAAAATATAAATCAGATATTATCTCCACTTTGACTTTCTCATCTGATTTCTATCCTGTTAAAGGTACCGGATTTTTATTGGAGAAAACTCTAAGGAAAAACCGTAAATAGACTTTCACTATTTTTCTATCGTTGCAAAAATCCTTGGCTAAAAACGATTTCTCGTAGATGATACTACGGAAGCTGATATTATTTACGGAAGCTTTTTTTTCTCAGTATTTAAATAGTTTAACTAGATTTTATTTATCCATTGTTTTTAAATATAAACTCTTTTTGGTTATAAAAAAGTTATAAAAAACTGACTTTATGGAAATTTTGATTCCAGCAGAATGAAGTTTGTCAGAATCCCTCGATGTTAAGTGAAATGTCTCTGGGATGGTAATAGTTGACATTAAAGAGGACGTTGACGGTGGCTGACACAGAGGTCTCATTTATAAACGTGGTATATTGGGTTAACTTAGAAATATCACACACTTCTAAGATGTATCCTGCAGATCATTTTATGCCAAGGCCGGGTGTTTTGCAATAGAAATTATGAATGGTGGAGTGAGTGTGTTGTTCAATCTTTTTAAAAAAATAGTTCCTACTCATTGTAAGTTGTTTTGAAGTTGTTTTGCAACATCCGGATTTCGAGTTTATAGCTCATCATCAGGTTGGCGGAGTTCTACAACCACGTCTCTCGAAATGAATTGCAAAAGTGAACCCGCCAATTCCCTGCCAACATGACGTTCCAATGAGAAGCTGGTTTTTTAATGCCGCTCAATTTTGAACATGCGAAAAGCGGGAATTATAACACATGTAAATATTAAATTAGTAAATATTTCAATTAATTAAGGTTTTTAGTTGAGATAAAAAGTCAGTGTC